ATGATACCTTTTACCTCTGATTCATGTGATGGTGGTTATTTTCATATTGCGTCTCTTAACCCTAACATGGGTGAGTGGTCTGTTTTGGTGAAGATTTGAATTGTTGGTCTGTTTCGCGTGGCTCGGGTAGAGAGCTCAATATGATTTTGGGTGACGAGCATGTTAGTATTTTAATAACTTACCTTCTATACATGTTTTCGATATTAAATTGAATTGTTTTTTTCTTTAACATTTCATTTGCAGTTCACCCAAATTTAAGCCGTTGTTCGTGATGAATTAATTGATAATTATTTTTCAAGATTGATAATCGATGAGTGGGTGAGCATTAAATTTTTTGATGTATCCCGGGTTAACAGCATCTTGAGACCAGTACCGCATAGATTCAAGATTGTGTTTCGTTCGGACACTTTAGTGCAAAGTATTAATATGTGCTCCAGTAGAACCTATTTCAATCTAACTGAGTTTGTGAGTATATTGAGTGGTATTGTTAACCCGAATATTTGCGTTGGTAAGCCTAATTTATGAATTTATTTGTGCTTTTGGAGTTTATTTGCGATTCATGTTCTGACTGTATTATTCATGTGTGTGTTTCATATATGTTATTGGCAAAATTCTCAACGTGAGAGAGTTGGTTTTTGTTCCTTCCATGGAACATTCTCAAGGAGGATATTTTGAGCTGTGCTTTGGTTTACGTGATACTGAGTAAGTAACTATTCTTTTAAAGATTTAAACCAGAATATAATGTCTTATGACTTCTTCAAATCTTAAAATTAAGTGTATCCATCTAGAATGTCGTTTAACATGTGACCTTGCAGTCGAGTTCTATGACTTATGGAAGCAACGTTCACGTAACACAGTGATATGTATTATCAAGTTTGTGAAATTAGAGCTATCACAGGAACATAGGTGGAGATGTACCAATGTTACCGGAAGTACGAGGATTATGTTGAATCCGGATCTCAGTATTACCGACGAGATGCTTTGTTGGTAAGTATTTTTTTTTCCGTTTACAATCAAAACTCTAAAGTTGGCGACTGGACATTCACTGTTTATGGTGTTCTTAATCGGATGTTAGGAATCCTGAAAATGACCAAGTACCGATCATAACACGGAAGGAGAATGCCATGGAGTGATGATGTTCGTTGATTTCTTATTTTGTTGGTGAATGATTTTAAAAGATGATTTATTATTATTTTTTAGCATTTATAATATTATTGAATTTTTTAAATTTCATCATTTTCCATAATTTTATCACACTAAATCCTAAACAATTTACCATATTTTTCTTACACTACCAAGTATCACCTAAACAATCCCTTATTTCACATGATTTTACCATTTATGCAGCATTCTTCCCGCGCATGCGCGCGGGCAATCACCTAGTTGATTATTATCGGAGATTTAGTCTGTTAATATGTTCCGTTAAAACATTTCAAACGTGTCTAAATTGGCTCAGTCAGCAAAAGTTTATGATTATTTTAATTATTTTAATGGGTTGCCGCATTATTACGACATGTACTATTTTCATTCTCCCGATTTCGACCTATACTTTTCGACCCTTCATAAATAGACATAAACTATATTTATTCTTTACAAAACGACCTGAACTTTTTTTCGGTCTAAATGTCTACACCTCCAATCGAAATAGATAATCCCGATTTTAAACCCGATTAAACCATTAAATCGCGATTACTATTTCGCGTTTGACCAGATCCGACTGTTTTTTCTTTGACTCGATAAACCCAGCTTAAAAACGACGTCGTTTGCTAAATATGAAAATCACTCAAAATCTGTTTTCCCCAAATTTCCCGAAACCCTAGCACCCAAATTCACTCGTCTATCGATTTTTCCCCAAATATGAAGAACCCTAGATGCAATTTAATTCTGTCACCAAAACAAACGACTTCGTTTTTTAAGCTGGGTTTATCGGGTCAAAAAAAAACAGTCGGATCTAGTCAAACGCGAAACAGTAATTAATTGCGATTTAACGGTTTAATCGGGTTTAGAATCGGAATTATCTATTTCGATTGGAGGTGTAGACATTTGGACCGAAAAAAAGTTCAGGTCGTTTTGTAAAGAATAAATATAGTTTATGTCTATTTATGAAGGGTCGAAAAGTATTGGTCGAAATCGTGAGAATGGAAATAGTACAGATCGTAATAATACGGCAACCCTTAAAATAAATAAAAATCAACAAAAGTTGGTGATTTAAAGCGTCCAAAAAACATTTGGCGCTTTTTTAACAAAATTCGAAAGCTCATGATTTTTTGATACTTTTCCATTTTTATTGGGTTTTTGCAGTGTTTAGAAACACAACACAAACCCGGCAGTATGATTGGGTTCCACTAGGAATATTAACTCGGGCAATAACAATGGCCTGTTCTTTTCCGAATCGCATTGATTCATTCGAGCGACTTAAAAATAACATGCTTTCCAGACCACTTTTGACATATAATTGTCGCTGGTGTTGTTACGAAACAGTCATCAGTGCTTTAAGGACCACTAAGGGCATCATCAATGGGGGATCATGTGAGGGTGTTCTTAGAGAGAATATAATGTTAAAATAATGTAAGATCATGTATTTAGATCTTTTGTTTAGAAGTTGATTAGTGGGAGAACATGTGTAAGATCTTAAGATTTAATAATATAATAATCTAAATTAAATTAAGATTTTACAATTATTAAAACATTTAAAAGTGAAAATAAAAGTGAAAATACAATACTAAATATTTATGAAAAAAAAACATTAAAAATATAAATAACAATAAACAAACAAACATATTACTTAATAAAAGCACAAAAACATTTTATCTAATTAATACATAGTTTATTGTCCAAATTTATTCCAAATATGTTGAATCAAATCCTCTTTTAATTGGTGATGTGCTTCTCTATCACGAATTCTTGTATGCCCATCACCTAAACCTTCAAGATTTGTAGCCATATTTACTGAAAACGTAAGATCCCGAGGTATTTCGGTTTCATCTTCTTGTTGGAATTCATTTTCGTCATAGAGAGTGTATGAATCTCGCTCATCTTCGACAATCATATTATGGAGTATGAGACAAGCTCTCATAATATATGCTATTTTACCTTTCGACCATAAAAGAGATGGATTTTTAATCATGGCGAATCTAGATTGCAGGACTCCAAATGCACGCTCAACATCTTTTCGTGCACCTTCTTGACGTTCAGCAAACAAACTATGTTCCGGGTGTTGTGGTTTTGGGATGGATTTAACAAATGTCGCCCATTCGGGGTAAATGCCATCCGTCAGATAGTAAGCCAAATTATACTCCCTTCCGTTGACATTGTACGTCACTTCGGGAGCTCGACCGTAAATAATGTCATTAAAAACTGGAGATTGATCAAGAACATTTAAATCGTTACTAGTACCTGGCGCTCCAAAAAATGCGTGCCATATCCAGAGATCTTGTGAAGCTACCGCCTCCAAAACAATTGTTGGTTTACTGGTGCCTCGTGAATAAATTCCTTTCCAAGCAGTTGGGCAATTCTTCCACTTCCAATGCATACAGTCGATGCTGCCAACCATCCCGGGAAAACCCCGCTTTTCTCCATAAAAGAGTAGCCTTCGGAGATCCTCTTGTGTGGGTCGCCGTAGGTATTCAGTGCCAAACAAGTCCACTATTCCAACGACGAAATGTTCCAAACATTCACGAGCAGTCGATTCACCAATACGTAAATATTCGTCAACCGAGTCCGACCCAGTCCCATATGCTAATAGCCGAATTGCTGCAGTACATTGTACTAGCGGTGATACACCATTTCGGAACCTTGCATCCTTTTTTGGTTGAAAATATGGAAGCTTTTCACTAAGACGATTCACAATACGCAAGAACAATGACTTGTTCATTCGAAACCGTCTGCGAAATTGCCTATCCAAATAAGTCGGATTATCACTAAAATAATCGTTCCACAAACGTTCATGACCTTCTTCCCGTTTTCTATCGATATATGTACGTTTCTTCCTCTCGGCCTGAATTTCCTCTTCCGCCGGAATTTCCTCTTCAGCAGCATGAAATTGATTATGAAATTGAGCTTGAAAAAATTGGTTAAAACTATCATTATTTGGATCATAATGGTAGTGAAAATTATTGGAAGAAGAAGCCATAAAAATTTGGAAGAGATTAAACTTGGAATTTGTAGATAGAAAGAGAAGAGAATTGTATGTTCGTTGGGAGAGAAGGAAATGTTTTCTTGGTTTGTTTGATGAAATACAATCTTCTGCTCGTTTGAAATATTTATAGAGAGTTGCAAGTTTGTGTGGGAAAAGGTATTTGATGCATCCATAACGTCAAGTTGATTTTTTTTTTTTGTCAAAGAACGTCAAGTTGATACATCAAGACAAACACATGTGAACTTTGGTCTTTCTTACAAACAAAAGCCTGTGACTCTTGTCAAATTTTGTTTTCTAAAACATACAAAACAAATGCACGTGAGTCTGGCTTTAAAACTGTGCCTACAATCATACATTATATGCTGCACTAATTTACTTAATAAACATGATGAGTGCCACTACCAAAACACTCATACTGAAACAAACAGCAACTACCAATTCAGGGGCCAAGTTGAACAATGGTTTCTTCTCACCTAACTCACTAACAAGCCTCTCCAGTTCTCCAGTTTCACCAACCTCTGATCTGAATGGTTTTGGTGGTCCTTGAACTTCATCAGTTCTGTCTCATAATCAGGTTTTGTTGGTTCAGCATCACAGCTCCACAGACTCCTCTTCACAGTCTGAGGTTGCAGAGGATAGTAACTGCTATCTTCCTCCTCTTCAGAACTGTAGTCTAATGGACTGTTTATCCCATAGTCATAGATATCATCAAGTCCCATGTCTTATTCAACCTGAAACCAAAAAACAGAAAGCAATCAGAATGAAGAATGCAATCAGAAACGGAAGACAGATAATCAGAATACAAAACCAAAGCAATCAGGATTTAGGAAACAAACATAACCGATTCATTAAAAACATAAGAGAACAAGTTGAACAATGTTACATATCTGATTCATAAGCACATTAAAAACAAAAGACAAACATAGTTAAAACAAACATAAGACAAACAGACAAATCATCTAGTGTTTATTCTAAGTTAAAAAAGTTCAGCAACTAGCTTCTTCTTTACAATTTTGTCTTCTTCATCCAGATTTTCTTTCTTGGCAATTAGACTGTCAAGAATGGACAGCTTTTGGAGTTCTTTCATTCCCTCCACATCCTTCTGTTTTAGCTCAAACATTTTACTAAACTCAGCAGATGGTGTAGCAGATGCAGCAGATGGTGCAGCCGATGCTGAGGCCTTCTCTTTACCTTTGGTCTTTCTTAATTTTTTCATTGCCTTTATGCCAGGAGGCCTACTCTCGTGCTCACCTACTACAGAGCCTGAAGATGGTGCAGCATCATTTGCTTTGCGTTTGTTCGAGCTGGTTGACTTATTAGGAGTGGGGTTCATAGCCTCCAGGTTTAGCCATTTCTGTTCATAGCGAAGAACATTCCAAGCATACTCCAAAGCAAACTTCTTCTTGTAAATCTTAGTGTAGATTTGGTGAGCATTCTGCAGAATATCCAAATCATTCATGCCACTAGCTTTCTCTGCTAGAGACTCTGCATAAGCACCACAAAACTTACTAACATGCCTGCTGACTTTTTGCCACCTTTGTCTACAATGGTCAGGGAGTCTTGGCTCAGCACCTCCAAGTCCATGAGTACTTGATCCATAGTACTCAGATATGCGCTTCCAAAAGGAGCCTGACCTTTGATCATTCCCAACTATTGCATCTTTAGAGGTGTTTAACCACCCGCTTATCAAGACTAAGTCATCTTTTGTGGACCAAATCCTTCTCTCCCTACGCTGTTCTGCTGTCTCTTCTGGTTGAGTAGGAGGTTGAGTGGGCTGTGAACTAGTTTGTGAACTAAAAGAAGGGATTTGAGAGGAACCAATGTTTACATTGGGAGCATAGCCGTCGTATGGGAAGTTTAAGAGACTAAAGTAGGGTTGAGACTGACTATTAGGAGTATTATTTGGATCCATAGAAATGAGATTTAAAAAAGGAAGAAGCTGAGGTAGAGAGATTAATTGAGAGTTCACGAATATTGGTTAAGAAAGAAGCAAAAGAGGTAGATGATAAAAGCGAAGAGAAGGTATGAGAGATTTGTTATTTGTCTCAAGTGTAATATAAAGTAGTTAAGAAGATCATTTAATTTACAGTTTGGTGTTGTTCAACTCTTTTAATTCACAATAACCCTTACCTACTTCAATCAAATCAGAAGTAAACAAAGGTCATTCAACATGTATTTTCTTAATGGTTTCATATCTACTTGTTTTGTTTTAAATCAACAGAGACATATAAATTTAGACAACAGTTACAAAAATTGGTGTTTCAAATCGTTTTGCAGTTCATACAAACAAGTGAACTCACTTTAAATATACCAAATGCATTAACAAATACGCCATTTATTCTGTATGAAAACCAAGTATATCATCAAGATTCACACTTTGTAAACCTAGTTTTCTTGTTAACTAAATCGCTTAATCAGAACACACAACCGATTGTACAACCTATAGTTCTTCTAATCAACGAAATCGATGAAAACAAAAGTAGACTAAAAGGAGACCATAAAAGACACCAGACAGAGGAGACCAAAAGACAGAGGATACCAAAAGTAGACTGACCTTGTGTATTTCGCCGGTTATAGAACGGATTTGTACAACCACCAAGCAGACAACGATTTCTGGAGATCGATTTCTCCAGCCCTATCAAATCGCGAAGAAGATACATTACAAATACAGTCTACAGATAGATTTCTATAACAGAAAGGGAGTGAAACAAAAAGATATCGATTTTATGGCTGGAAAACTCACATTTTGTCGGAGAAGATGGGGGTCGCGAAAATCGCCGCTTCAGCCAAAAAACCCTAGGTCGTTTTCGATTTTGGGTGAAATGAAAATTGTGTCTCCTGTCCTTTTCTCCCAACCAATGCCATCTCGCCATGTCACCCCGCAACACAAAGAAGAACTGATCCAGGATGAGAGCGGGCAGGCTGATCTTAAGCCCATAAGCCCATTATTTTGGTTTAAAAAAAGGCTTAGATCATGTGTTTGGTCCTGCAATGTAGATGGTCTAATATGTCGCTGTTTTTTATAGTGATTCCGATAACGCCAGCAACCTTTAAAAATTATCTCGTCGGAGTCGCTGGTTTTAATATTGCTTACAGAAAAGAAAAATTATGAAGAAGAAAGACTGATATTTGCCATCCCTCAAATGAGTCACAGCGACTCGGAAAAGAGCATGGCCTATCTATATATATGTGAATTACAACAACGACAACATGTTACCATCTTGTAATTCCAATGGTGAAAAGGAAGACATCTTGCACACTCGTCGTCTTATTTTACCTTTCTTACTTTATTTATTTAACAGAAATATAAATCCAAACCACTGCCTCGTACAAGAACAAGATGGTTTTCACCCATCGCAACAATTAATCCGGATTTGGACCAGCCGAGTTATCCACTTCAGTGTCTTCTAAGAATTGAACCTCACATCCACTTGGAAACATGAGTACAAAGTTTCGAAGTATTGTGGTTCCTGTCTTCATTGACCATCTTCAAACCATAGGTATATAATATATTACATGTAAGTAAAAACTTTGGCTGCAAGGTGCAAGCAAAAATATAAAATCACTACAAGAAACACGAGTATTGATAGCACTTAAAAATAGCGGTTTCTGAAGTTTTGCTATGGTTTATATCTGCCTAATTATTTCATAGCGTTTATAAAACTTCAAACGCTATACTATGTTAAGCGGCAAAAATAATTTGACACGCGCTTAATCTTTTGGGTATCCATCGTTCTTTAATAGCAGATAAAAGTTTTAAACGTTATAATATTAGTAACCGCGAATAAATTTCGTCGTCGCGCCTAAGTAAAAAAAAAACCCAATTTTTGATTTTTAGGGGGTGTTATTGGTTTGTGATTTAAATAGAGTTTTGATGACTTTAATAAAATCATAGAAAGTGAATAAGTGAATGATTTAGAAGAATTGTTAGAGAGTTTTCTATAGTCTTGTTGATTAGTTTTTCTATAATCTTGTAGAGTCTCCCAAACAATCTCAATATTTCAGCATACTTTCCATGACTTTATTTTGTAAAGAAAAGTGTTTAAAATCATAAACCAATAACACAATAATTGAATTCATTAACAATCATAGATTGTCATAGATTGTTTTGTTTTAGTTGAATAACACAAAACTTTTAATGACTTTATAAAACTCTTAATCCAATAACACAATATTCATTAAGATTTTAAATGACTTTTTACAAATCACAAACTAATAACACCAAACTTTAAGAGAGTTTAACAAAACAAAATCTTGATTGAATAACAACAGATTCTACACAATTATTAAAGTCATTAAAACTCTATTTAAATCACAAACCAATAACACCCCCTTAGTTTGATCAAAATTAAAGTAAGGTAAACGGTAAACCCATCCCATTTCTCTCACCCAGCCGCATATTCTCTGTCTCGCCGTGTCGATCCTCCATGGCTCCATCTCTGTCTCGTTCTCTCTGATTATACTTTATACATCTTCCATCGTTGTATTGATTTCATTCCCTGCTCTTACTCTCACTCTAAATCCTCAATCTCTGTTTCAATCTATCAATCTCAGTCTCCTCTATCAATTGCCGTTGTTTTTCCCTCTCAATCTCTGTGTTGTTCTTCGGTCTCTGTCTCATTCTCCCACTCTCAGTCTCGTTCCCTCTTCGTATTCATCGGTGTAAATCGAATTGTTTTGATCGAATTTTACATATAAGGTGAAATTGCTTTTGGGTTTTCGTCATTTGCACATATTTAAGGTTTTAATCTGCATAATTGGGTATTAATCCATCAGTTATCTTCTTTTTCTATTTTGCAGGAAGAGCTCGGTGAACTTTCACTCAAAGGAAGAGTTTCAGTTTTGAATTTCGATTCAAAGGTTTTTTTGCTAAGTAATCGATCTCTAATTGATATCTATTTGACTGTTATGGCAGTTGATTTCACACAAAGTAGAACTAAAGTAATAGGTATGTGAGATTTTGATTTTAAGGTTTGGGAAATTGTATAACCGGTGGTTGGGCTGTGGTAAATATTGGCTTAATAGAATCAGTCACAAGTTTTTGGAAAGAACTATTAATGTCATTGAGGTGAAGGGTTTTGGTGGTGGCTGGTTCGAGTTACGTGTGTATTCGGTATGGTCGTGTGATGGAACAGTATAATCTTTGTGTGGAAGAAGCTCATAGGAACAATCTACTCGTTGGAGCTCACATGGTTCAGACGACTTCAACAAATCAAGAAAGCTCGAGCCGTTTACAGATCACAATTATACACAAGATTGCTTGAAACCTCTTATTGAGTTGGCTTGGGAACTTAAACTCTTTTGTGAAACTTATTTAGCAAAGCCTCAGCTTTACACTGCCACAATTCTTATCGCTCTTGACATATCTATTCCTAATTTCCTATGGGTGAAACTTTCAGGATTTGTTGTAAATAATCATCATTTACAATTTGTTGTCTTCTTTAATTTTTTTATTTTATTTTGATATATATGTTCTTACAATTGTTTTGTGTTTTGTCTTTGTAAAATAGTCAAGTTTAGATATGTAACAATGAAGAAAAAAAATACAACAAAATTTTTGTTTCTTACTAAGAACATAAAATAGAATTAAAAAATAATTAAACTACTACAAAACACAAAATAATAAGGAAATTTAATGAGTTTTTGATTTAGAATTTAGGGTATAGATAGGGTTTGGGGTTTAGGGTATCTAATTCTATTAACAATAAATCATAATAAATTTTTCTGGATTTATAAATAATTAATTTAAGGTGTATAAATTCACACTTATAAAATATTTTTGCTAATTCTCAATGAAGAAAATAGAAAGTGTACATAATAATGTTTTCTTAATCCTAAAATCTAAATACCAAACACAAATCCTAAACCCTAAACTTCTAACCCTAAAGTCCTAAACCCTAAATATTCTAACCTTAAATCATAAACAGTAAGTTTTTAATTGTAAATTATGAAAATTAATATCAAACAGTATGCCAAAAAATTTCAAGCATAATTATTTTGTAAATCCTAAACTTTAAAACCTAAACACTTATAATAAACTCTAAAACCAACACTTATTGCAAATTTTGAATTTGTTTTTTAATCATTTTCTAATTCAAAATCTCAAATCTGAAGACTAAAATCCCAAACCCTAAATTATGATTTCTAATACTAAAACATAAAAAATTAAAGCAAAAACTATAAACCTAAAAAATAACTATTTTGCAAATGAAGTTGATTACAAGTGATATATATGTCGTAAATAATTTGAAAATAGTTTTAGGATATATAATTTATTTTCATTAATTTACAACATATTGCAAAACTAATCTACTAATTTAAAGTGAAAAAAATAACAAGAAAATGCTAAACGTTCAAAATGCAAATTGAAAAAGCTGTCATTCGCTAGCTCATGAAGACAAGGATCACACTGTTTTTAATATAGACCATTGATTATAGTGAATCCAAGGGATACAAATTTTAACATTTTTTTATTATCTCATTGGCTAAGCCGTTAAAGTAGGGATCAGGTTCTTTCTAATATTAACCGTTGATTACAATGAATCTAACGGACCCAAATTTAACCCTTTTTTTAATCCTTCCGTCCTCTCATCTCCTCAGTCGTCGTCTCTTTCATCCCCTTCTTCCTCTAGATCGATTATCAAATTAGTTTCAAGCTTCAACCCACGACTCCACGAGAGCTTTTAATGGGGATCTAGGCTTCAACCCACGAGATCTCGGCTATTTGGGGGAGTCTTGATTTCGAAATCCGAGACCTGTTTATTAGTACGTAGCTGTTTTCAATTTGTTTTCATCGGTTGATTTTGACACCTATAATCTGTTTCCTCTTGTTTTCATCAATCTAATGCATTCTTCTGCTGGGTTTCTCTTTTGAAGATCTGATCGAATTGGAGGAGGAAGAAGGCGAGGTGATCGAGTTGGCTCCTCCTGTTCCTCAAAGCCGGAGATGGCTGGGAACTCCTGAACAAGATGGGAAAATCTTCTATTCAACAAGAGATAAGCATGGACCTGTAACCTTACAGATTGGTGAAGGTGCAAAAGAATGATTTTGCAGCTTTTATGATGGGGAAGAAGACGACATTGCTTTGTGATTTTGAGACTGTATTTTTTTATTTTTTAATTATTGTATTTTTATTTTTCAATGTAGATTTTTCTTTTAATAATTGTTTCATATAAATAATAATAAAATATAATATATTATTTTTAGTATATCAATGTATCCAGAAAATCAATAATTATAATTTAATTTAATATAATAAGAAATAATTAATAAAATTCAAATATTATAGAAAATATAAATTACTAGAATAAATTGTATAATATTAATATTATAAATAAAACAATTAATAGCAAAATACAATTGCTATTATAAAATATATGTTTGCATTGGAAAAGTGCTATAATAAATGAAGATACAATAGCAATGCCAAAAACTGCTATAGAAAGTGATGGATCTATTATCGCGGGCGATGACATAGCGTTTTCTAAAACGCTATGGTATCTACAAATAGCGTTTTTTTGATGTTATTAATATCTATTTTTCTTGTAGTGTACCCAACATGCAAAAACATGTTGGGACCTAACAATCTCAAGACCTATAGGATTGTAAATTAAATATCATGTAAACATTTTTGAGAGACATTAATGGATATATCATATATCATTTATCATTATCGGGGAGAAAAGAACAATTGCCAATGTATATGTGGTCGACACTAAGTTAAGAAATTAAATACCAAAAGGTCAGAAGAGAGATTATCTATACTATGAAAGTTGGCTTACTTTCTCCAGTTTTACGACACGTCAACATGGGAGAGAATGCCACGTGTCTTTCAATAAATCGTCGAGAAAAATTATTCGCTTCATCTTCTTCTTCACCCTTTTCGTCTTACAGTATGTTACCTCTAGTTAGCTGCAATTATAACCACCAGACGCCGATAAACAAGTGAAGCAAAATTCAAGAAAAGAAAAACAAAACTTAGCATTCTCAATAAAATCAAACCTAGCCGTTTTTCATGTAAGATGGAGTCACATAAGCATCTGACCACCCGGCGATTTCGAATTAATCATCAAATCCGGCTCCAGATTTCAACAGCTTCGGAATCGATTAAACCGGAGAAACAATCGCGAATCGATTCAGGTAAATCACATAAGCATCTGACCATTGTTTAATGATGATGATGTTTCAAAAGTCATCGTTAATTACCTCATCAAAATCAGCTTCGTATCCTTCTTCTCCCGATTGTTCTTCATCACATCCAAGGCAAGCGATTGCATTTCCCCACTTTTACCAATTAGATTTGAGTGGTCTCGCCTTAAATTGGGATCAAATTTCAAAAAAGAGGATACATTATATTAGTTTTGATCCAAGAACTAGGAGAAGCAAAATTTTGTTGTTGCAACACCCTCAAAGATTGTCGAAGTATAGTAAATTAGTAACTACAAAATCAAGCCCTTAAGGAGTGTATGTTAGCCCAATCGTTCTCACTCAGTTTTTTTCTGTCTTCGTCTTCAATTTTGCCCGTTTGATAAGTAAGTAATTTGTGTGCCTAGATTTTGTGGTTTGAATGAAGAAAACCTTGGAGTAGGACCCTTCTAATTTCGCGTACGATGAAGTTTATGATGACATGTATCACAAGCAGTTCCTCCATAAATACAAGATCGTTAAAATCTAATCTCTTCTAGAACACTTGAGAAAAGTTAAAAACGGAATTCCAAGTATCTATGTTGTACGAAAAAACTCGAAGCTTCTTCATAGCATATTGAATAAAAAAAAAAAACCTTTTTATCAGTCTACTTTATAACTTTCTCTTTATTTTGGGTTCCAAAAACCATATTACAAGTTTACATATTTTCTATGGCAGATGGTATTTAACGAGAAGATATTTCAAACTCACAAGGAGTCTAATTACAACGTAATGCTAAGGTTTCATCTTCTTGTACACATAACTTACTTTAGTTTCCCATAGGTGGTTTCTAAGATTTCAAGGTCTCGTCTTAATAAGTTGAGAATCATGCAAATGTCTCTTGCTTTGACTTTTGTTTTAGATAGTGTTTCTTTTTTTCCCGTCTCTTATTGCAATTTATAGGGTCGCAAGGTTTGGTGCATATTAATCTAACCAAATCCTTTATTTTGGCAGTGTAAGTATTAAGAATTTTGTTCCAAAGAAAGCACCACGACCAGCTCCAACCATCAAGGTGAGTAACTCTGTGATTTTATTTGACTTTTTCGATAAAATTTCAGAGCTGAGCACCTAAACAACATGGACTCCATATTTTCTCATCCCTTATTTTCTCCTCCTAATCTAATACTACGCGAAATGTGCAAGAAAGTAACATAAACGTTTTGAACTTTTAGCTTTTCATTGTTCGTAATTTGGGCATGGACCGTAGATTGATGAGAACGTGCCTACAGGCGTTAGCATAACTTCAAACGTTATCATATGCTGACATGCAAGAAAGAATGAGGACAATGAGCAGTGAAGGTACGTAGACAACTTCTTTCTTTTCTATGAAACGTTGGACTCCTTTATTTTAATTGCATTTAGTTACAAGCAATTGAATCTAGGATTCTTATTAATATATATAAATGTATACTCTTTATCTCTCCAAGTGACAAAATGATTGTAAAAGACTCTTGGGTGACTATAATAAGAGGAAGACTTTATACCAGAGATAGACTGAGATCTTGTGGTTTACTGGCTCCTCTGGACTGTGGAAATGGGGATGAGTCACGAAGCTGTCTGTAAACAAAGTTATCTACTTATATTTAATTAATTGAGATTGTAAATATCTGTTGGTACAATTATTCATCAACATGAAACTATATACAATTTGAATAATTGTACCAACAGATATTTACAATCTCAATTTAACTTAACCAGCTAAACCGATTCCCGGTTTATCCCAATAGTTACGCATATGGAGACAGAGAAAAAGAGACCACGGCTCCAGTTTGATTTCCTGACTTGCATTAACGACGTTTAACTTCCCACTTGGATCAAACTCGCACATAGGTTGGAAGTCATGGCTGTATTTCGGCCCAATTGAATACCACATGGACTAGCTTTTTTAACAAATTGGTTCACTCCTAAAAATAGTTGGTAGGCATCAATTTATCTTTTACTTAAAACCTATAATACATTACAAATACAAATTTAACATTGAATTAAGCAAAAAGAAAAAAAAAATATAAAATTATTAAAGGATACCCGGAGTAAACCATTTACTTATATTTGTGTTTTCTTTTTTGGATAAAGTTATTCTGCCATCCATCCCTAATTATTACAGTAGACATAGGTTTAAAATTTGTAATTAGATATATCAATTGTAAAAGAGGAAATACAATATATAAAAAGTAAATATCTATAAGACTATAACACTATATATAAACACAAAATTGATCAACAAAACGAACAACAAAAATATTCAACATTAAATTAAGAAAAAAAATATTAAGCAAAAGCCCGCTCGTAGAGCGGGTACTCACGTAGTATTTAGTTAAAAGATCTAAATGGATCAAGGACTGACGTTACTTTCTCACAGAAAGCTTGGCATCAAAGCGATCTAACACACTCTATAGTTATAATCTACAAACAATAATGGGTGAGTTACTCAAATAACACATAAAAGTGTGTTAATTACTTATATAGCTTGTACTTTTTGTTGATCATTAATGGCCAAATAACCCTTGAATTATTGTTGTAGAAAAAAAGTTATTACAAAACTGCCATTAAAAGATGCTGCTACGTCAGAGAGAGAAAGTGAGTTTTAAGAGGGAAAATTTCCCTCCACATCAAAAGTCTATCGTTGTAGTGACGATAGAGGTAATAGGTTTTGGTAGATTATCACGTTAGAGTTATTAGGTTGAATAAGTTATGTGATAGAGTAATAAGGCGATAGAGTTATTTGATTGAGTTAATTACAGTAGTGGCAGAGTTGAAAAAAAACCAGAGTTACATGACAGATTATGATGACTTTACGTTTACTAAAATAGCACCGTGACAGATTTAACGTATGTGGTGGCAGAGTTAAAAAAAATTGAGTTATGCGGAAGAGTAACATGTAGTGGCAGCAGACTTAATGAGGGATATAGAGTTACTTGACAGATTTTGCGAAATAAGTCTGTCGTAACATGACAGAGTTAATCCTTATGACAGAGTTATTTTTTAACTCTGTCATAATGAGGCAGAGTAACGGTTTACTCAACTAGCACGTTTGAGCGTCTTTTGGACGTATGTGGTGGTAGATTTAGAAGAAATTGTTAGCGATTAGATTTAAGTAGGGCGAACATAACACAATCAAGATTTGTCTAGGGTTTTATTTTAGGGATACGATAAACGTGAATTCTCAAAGAACAACAAAAACAATTGTAACCAAAGGTGGTGTTCTTGATCTTATTGATGAAAAGAGTAGTTTTGATCGTACCAGAGTTTGATCGTAAAAGAAAAAAAGGTGTTTGTGCTCTAAGAGCTTTGTGTAGTGTAAATTCTAGAGCGATCTTCCCCCCCCCCCCCCCCAAAAGTGAGAGCCTTGAGTCTCTTTATATAGAGATGATGAACCGCCTCTCTAGCGATATTCTCGGAAGATTTCCATTTATCTTGAAGTCGGCGCAGAATATCGCGGACTTGCCCTCGAACTCCGAAGAATAAGGAAATTAGCCTAATCCGCGATATTCTGCGTCTCAATGGCGAAATCATTAGCGCTGACTCCGTTCAGGTCCATTCTTTGCTCTAATCCGACATGTACTCTCTAAATAAGTGATAGCTTACTATACAGATTCTTGGTTTACAAAAAAAAAAAAAAAAAAGCTAACTATACAGATTCGCATTTCCCTTCCAAAAAACAAACAAAAGTAGCTCAAAGACATTCACTTTTTCTATCACTCTCCTTGTTTAGAGTTTAGAAATGACTCTAAATATTATCATCTCCGCACCGAACCACTATTCGATATAAAGTATCTAAAGTCTGATAGAGTTACCTAATTCAACGGCTTGAGCCACTCTTCAGCCGTTCGTAACAGCGTCCCGACTCTCTGGTTCTCGTCCATGTCACTCTCTGGGCTCCATACCGACAATTTAAACTTGTAGCATGCGAGACCGAAAGTGGGAAGTGGAAGCTTCGACGGTATAACTGATTTGCTTGAGCTTTGACCTTCCTCATTGCTTGTACCTTTTACCAATAATGTAAGAGTTGAATAGTGATGTTTTATAATAAGCCCATGTTTAGACTACGTTTCATATATGCAGAGATGGCTTACCTCGCAGCGTGTTGATAAAGAGTGGAATGGTAAAAAGCAAGCATCGAGGTTTTGTAACGATTGACCTAATGGTATTTGGTATATTAGGTACCTTCAATATTGTGAGAAGAAAAAAAATTTAGACAGAAAGATCTGGAAAAATAAATTCGTGAAAGTGTATCAACAGAGACCCAACTCGAAGGCGAAATATCACAGCTTCTTTATGTTCATAGTGCTGGAAATTGCGACGACGGGTTTAGATCTGCAATATTAAGGTTAAACATTATTATGAGACAGAGCATAACATTTTCACTGGCTACAAAATTGAACACTATGTGTGTATAACATGTTTATAGAAGTCATACTACTTTTGTTACATGTATAAGCAGAGATAATAAACTTACCTTGTCGGTCAATGGTTCACGACCAAATGGCATAGCAGCTTCAAGATATTCAAAGAAAAGGTCACCATGAGAGTTACTGTTGGCCTCACTTTCATAACTCGATGAACCAATGCAAGGTTTCTCGTCCAAAGAGACCATGTATAAACTCCAAGAAATGACTCTAGAGTCATTGCTGCCATCGCTACTAATGTCTCTAGGCTATCAATATGTGCAAAGTATTTATACTCGACGAAGTTAGATGTAAGCGTATTTTGATGGCCAAGCAAAAAAGATTTGATACCATTTAAAAATTGGAATAAAAGATATGTAATCGTTTATACTATAGGCAGTGTTTTTAAACCCGACCCGGATGGTGAACTGGACTACCTTCTGGGTCATCGGGTCACTGGGTCAACCGGGTTCGATCACGGGTCAATTGATTAAAATTTAATTAATATATTTAATATTCATAGAGAATATTTAGTTTTTATAAATATAAAAATAAAAATATTCATACTATATTTACAAAATATGAAGTCTAACAATAATAATAAACTAATTCAAATTAAAATTTTAAATCCAACTAAAAGTCTAAAATCGTAACAAATATTAAAATAGTAGGAATCGCCAATAACAGAAATAAACTAATAAAACATCGCGAATTAAAAACAACTAATATCCGTTATTTTTTTCACCATTTCATTCATTCTTTTTAGACGGAACTGTCATGTTTCAGCAAAATCTAAAATATCAAATGAGTCTAAGAACTACAAAAGAGTTCTAAAAATAATTGAATAGAGTCTAAAACTCTAAATTTTATTCCAAAATCAAATGATATTTTTAAAACCCATACCCAGCCGGTTCAACCGGTTCACTGGGTCGCGGGTTAATGGCGGGTTTTTGTGGGTTTTTCCGGTTTTGAAATTGCCGGGTATTAGCACTAAACCCAAACCGGAAATGTATCCGGGTCGTGGGTTAACCGGTCGGACCGGGCGGTCCGGGTCGGGCGTAAAAACACTGACTATAGGAATATGCTATGATTAGAGTATTAATTGTTTTCTCTTTATACACGATTACTCGAATATTAGGAGAGAAAGTTATAGTAAATAGTAAATGAAATTTAATAAAATCATAACTAAATTAGATCTTAGGTAAGGAAAAAAAATATTTAGTATTAATTAGTTGGAATTAGTTAGATTTGAATACATAAATTGGAGAATATAAAATCAAGATTATAGGAGCATAATCGAGATTATAGGTGGTGTCAAAAAAAAAAAAAAAAAATCGAGATTATAGCAACAAATAATATATACCACATATCTTTTAAAACCATAAAGGAAAAATAAAACGAATTTAGGTAATGAATGATGTAATCGGGATTAGTTTCCAGAATAATAGGAAAGATTTCGTTTTGTTAATATATCTTCTATTAGAAATTTAATCTGTTGAGATTAGTTTCCATTATATATATTATCTCGAATTTATGTATGATAATCATTAAAAATTTAGATTTGATTTCGATTTTATTGTTATTTGATAGCCTAAATCAGAAAATATTACCAAAATAGATTCTTTGTGATATTAAATATGAAAAACGAATTTATTATTAATTAATGTCGTTTTCCTTTAAAAAATCAAATCAGAAAATATTACCAAAAGAGATTTTTTATGATATTAAATATGAAAAACGAATTTATTGCTAATTAATGTCGTTTTTATTTAAAAATATTTTCTTAATTATCTTATCCAGGATCCGAACAGAATTAAACCCGGGTAAAACCCGGATCCAAATGAATTAGTGCCAAAAAAAACCCTGTAAAAATGTATATGTAGATAGTTTTTTTTTTTTTTTTGTCTTTTACTATTATTTTGTAGTGGGGGTATCAAATGAGGGTAAAAAATGACGTGTGAGATTTGATAAAATGGATAAACTTATTTGCCTTTTAATTTGGAAAAGTTCCCAAAAATACGCCAATTTGTTTTACTTTGCAATAAAAATACATGAATTTTTTAAAGCATTTTAAAAAATACGCTTTTTCATATCTCTATACTA